CCCCAAAACCCCAAAACCCCAAAACCCCAAAACCCCTTAGGAGTTTTTAGGTGTTGAAAATGCTTAGAAGGGGCTTTTGTTTTCAAATAAGAATTCTCTTTTCCTGTTGACGATGAAGGTAGGGATTTTTTTGTCATCCAAATTTTTGAGAAGGTGCTTATACACTCCTTTGTCAAGCTTTGTTCTAGGCTTAAAGTTGATATACGGCTTACCTTGCCTCTAGGATTATAGGAAAGGTAGGGTGCTCCATCTACCCCATTGATATCGGTTATTCCTAAAAATTGCTAAAATCAAATTTTTTTATAAAGAAAATAAAAGATAAAGCAAAGAAAGTAAGATTCAAAGATAGCACAAGTCGTTAGAAGTAAAAGAATTAGCGACACAATTTTCTTTAAACAAAAACTCTTAACACTCCATTTTTCACACAGTAACACTTTATGTAAAATGAATCTAATTTCTTAAGACAATGTACCAATAATATAACCATCCAATGAAAATATCTTACCTTGTATCGGAAATTTCTTTGAATTAAAAGACTGCACTACAAACACTAAAACTCCAAAAATACAGTATTCTCTATTAATATTTCTTCATAACGATCTCTTGATTCCACTTTTCCTCTCTTTCTCATTCTCTTTCTCCTCAGCCACCTTAATCTTATTCGCTTCCTCAAAAATGTCAAATTCTTTAGCTCCTAAAAATCAGCCATAGCTCACCTTGTGTCTCCTTCTGTAGATGAATTCTATTGGTGGGACTCTCTGGGTCGGTCTCTTCAGGTTCTTCCTTCATGTGGTTATTTAGCAAACTTTGGTCTGTGTCTGTTTGTTGCAGAAATTCTCCATCCTCTATCCCCTTAAACTCCTCAAATTCATCCTCCTCTTCACTAAAACCTCTCTCCAAATCCCTTAACACCACTTTCTTCTTCTCAGTCTTCTCTCTCAAATTCTTACGTAACTTCAATTTCCTAAGATTACACTTCTCCTCAAATCAAACTTGCGCCTAAACCCATTACACCCAATCCTATCCCCCAGGCCTTCTTCACCCCATTTTCCAATTTTAATCTCCTCTAATCACCCAAAAGACCTATCCTAAGTTCCCAAGTTCTAAGGAATAAACTTCTGAAGCAGTAAGCCTAGTTCTGCTAAGCCAGAATCTTTGGCATTAAGAACTGGAGCCTGGCTTGGGATAAATGGCTAAGTTCTTACCAAATTAAGAGCCTTCTTGTGCGCATGAGGGGGATTTTTGGAATTTCTAGAAGAGATTGTGGAGAAGTTTACTGAGAAGTTTTGCAGTTTTGAGCCCTTCTTCTTATGAATTTTAGGTTTTCTTTTAGGGTAGCTGAAGGAGAGCGGTTTGTGCTAGTGCTAGATAGAGGTGAGATGAGGGCAGGGAAGAATTTGAGAGGAGGGAAAGACTTAAGAGTGGTGTATTGGGGATTAGATGCTGTCAAGATTAAAGAAGAAATTTCTGGTTTGGTCTTGGTTTGTTGGGTTTAATAATAAAATTCTCAGAAAACGGTTGGTTATGAGATGGTAAAAAGAATATCTCTATATATTTACCTTTAAATAATAACGGTATTTAAAAGAGATGGTAAATGTATGAAACTTTTTAATCTTAATACATTTTTCTTAATTTTTGACATTTTGGATTAAATTAAAATCCTGAGTTTTATTCTATCAATGTCTGAATCTTTAATCCTTACTAAAAATCTCGTGAAGGTTTAAGTTTCTTTGGTGAATCTTTAGCCATATTTAAAACTATTGAAGCTTTTGAATGCTTCTTAAGCAATTGATGGCTGAACCTTTCCTCTAAAAATCAGCTATAAATCTACTTCTCATTAAATCTGAGTACTCATCTAAATATTACAGCATGAGAAATACCTCGAGGAATGTGTTTATCAATAGTCATTATCATCCTTTCTTGTGCATACAAGTAAGGATCACCCTTGCTAGGAGACTCTAGCCTAGATTTGAGAGCTATTACAGTTACAAATTAGGCTTACAAGCATCTTTAAGATTTGAGCAATGCATTCTGTAAGGATTATAGGTTCTTGTCTGTGAATTTGACCTTGCTTTATGGATGATCTTGCTCACTTCAGAATTCAAGCTCATCTTTCTAAAATTATCCTTGTTTTCAAACCTTGAAATGTAGCTGTTCTCCTATATAATTAGAGATCTACAATTTGTATATTTACCTGATCATAACCTCTGAATACTTCTGGCTCTTGTGAAATATTATTGTAGGTATTCTCTTGATAACTTAGCTTATTTGTCTAAATCAATTCTAAAACTTTATCTAAAGCTACTCTTGACTTACATGTGGAGTTCTGTGCAAGGTTGGAGCCAAAGCATTATTGACCTTTATCTGAAAACATTCCTCATCCGTATTGGAAGCCCCTAGATTCCTTGACTTCATCTATGGAGTAAAAAACTGGAATACTCTTGATTCAGAAGACCTAGCCTAAATTTTTATTTAAGACAATACTCTATATTTGGAAATCAATGATTTTATAACATCATTCGGACTTGTGTCAAACTTTCCTTGACTGATTAAGTCTATCTCTGACTTATCAATAGCGTCTAAGGAATGCTCTAATTGTTAGTAACTAACTTACCGATGTAAGTAGAGTTCTTTCCTAGCTTTATGATATTATTCGTGGCATCCCCGTATACTATTTAGGTTTATCAATTCCAAGTAAAAAGATTACCATTTTGTCCATGGAAATCTCCATATTGCACCAAAGTTCTGCTATTATCAATCGGGGATTTAGATAATTTGTAAAAGCCAGCTGATGTTTTGAATCCTTCTAGTGCTATAACCCGTTTATTCGATTATGAAGAATATATTTCTTTCGTGTCTAATAAATTACCTTTATTTTTAGAGACGTTTCTAAAATTATAACCCAAAAAGGTACCTTGTTCTCTTGATTCTTCTTAACTCTGTAGAATTAACTCTGCTAATTTCAGATCTCCTTGTCTTTTTCATTAAATTTTATTCAATAAAAAACGATAAAATTGGGGTTTTGGGGTTTTGGGGTTTTGGGGTTTTGGGG